GTGTGCTCTTCCGATCTATAGTTTAGATAGCTCTGCGCATTTTTATTTAATTTAAATATTCGCGGTTCGGCTAATTACATTTGTTTTGTTTGCATTTGCTTATTTTTTTATTACAAAAAATTATTAATTAGTTTATACAAGCAGACATATAGCTATTTATTTATTTATAAGACAATTGAATGTAATCAGTAGAATCAAAAGATAAGATACGAGACACTATCGCTTTTCTTGATTCAGTGTTTTATACTTACTTGTATTATACCGTTGTCATTTTGATTAATGATCAGGTTTTTGTATGTTAATATTTATAAAAAATATATATTTTCATCTTTTTGACAACTTTATTAATCTGATCTATCGGATAATGTAGTCATGAACATCATTAGTCATGGATCATTACGAAGTGTTCTGCAGTTCCCGATCACAAAAGTCAAACGTTGGTGGCGGTTATAGCTTGGATGGGTGACCGTTTAGATTTCAATATAGTTTGCGAAAAATGATCCGCTTGAAAACATCGCAAATTTTTTTTTAATGTTTTGTGATTGTTTTTATGCTGTTTGTGTAAAATTATATATACGATATTGAATGCTTATAATGTTAGACTAATGTTTTAAATAAGTTCAACTTTGATTCATTGAATGTTTAAAAAGGATGTTTCTAGGATGTCCGAATCAGTAACACTGGACGTTTTTAATACATTCTAAAGATGTCTGAGGCTTTAATTAGGATGTTTTAAATACGTACGGAATGTCCAACATGTACGTTTTTAATACATTTTTAATACATTACTGTGCTGTCTGGATAGGGACAGATGGCATATGAAGATATTATGAGTTTAGAGTGTCTCTTATAAATATTAAGAAAACTGTTGATAAGTAAAGCTTTAATAGCGGTCTGTGAGACCGATATAATGATTTAAAGGTTAATGAATTTAATGCTCTGTTTCAGTCTCGTAAATATTCTAATTCCTAAATTATTCGAATCCAGTCAAGAAATAATTCATCAATTTGCTCAAAATTTCATAAATCCTGACGCTTTAAGTAATATTTCTATTTTAACTATTAATAATAAAGAAAATATACGAAAGTCGAAAATATATGTGGGGTCGGAATGTGAAAACTTTCTAGAAACTTTGTCTTCCGAATGCGCGCAGCAAACTAGGTTAAAATTGTTTAAATTTTTATATTACAGCAGTAGAAGAAATGTTAAAGCGTTTACCTTATAAAGATTTTTTTTTTCAATCATTAACTTTTTTA